TTCTCAGAAGAGTGAGATGTGGTTCAATTAACAAGGTGTCCTGCACTTCCTGCCACGCTATACATATTTATTGATTTGATTTCCAGCCGCACTGTTTCGAGGAGCAAGTGGGCTTGAGGAGGATATTGGAGAATTATTTTTGAAAGATTGAAATTAGCAGCCACAATCTCATCTCCTTCTACAATTACATTGCAGAAAATGGTTTGTTTTCCTGGCGTGCGAGGGAGCGGGCTCGCCTCGGCTTTATTTTCCTCTGGCGTCTGGTTCACGGAGTGAAAAGTGGAGGGGACAAAGGAATAACACGGAATAAAAGCGGCTACGTGGCTTGGAAACCAGCAAAGGGGAGGAAGCAGAAAGACGGCTAATGCCCTCTTGCTGGGTAAACAGCTTCCGAGAAAGTTCTGGAGGAATAATGGCAAGCGTGTTCGTATGGGATGTTCCAATCACTCGCAGAATTTCCTTCATGCCCAGCGAACGGGCCTTTGGCTTACCGCTTACAGGGGCCGAGAGGCCGGAGGCCGCATGACCAAAGGCCGTGTCCAACGCACAGGGCTGGTCTCAGCCACAGGCTTGCCTTCGACCTCCACAGCGTCCATGCTACAGATCCTGCTCCCTTCCGTCCAGCCACGGCTCAGGGCCACGAGGTGCCCCGTCAGGCCACGTATCCATTGACAACATAGGAATATTCGCCCAAGTTCTTCTTTGAACCCAATAAATGTAATCAAAGCTCTTCTAAGAACCCAATAAATGTAATCAAAGACTGAGCCACCAAACACCATAAATATACTGCCGGAAACCTGGACAGGCCTTGGCAACTGCGCCCTCTCCCACTGCCTTCCCCAGGAGGAGCGCTCTCTGCTCACTCTCTCTCTCTCTCTCTTTTGTTCTCCTCCCTGCCTTTGTCTCCACGCCCAACACAGTGCCACTGCGCTGGCTGCAACGTGAATCACCCAGGAGTTGATTTAGCTTTCAAAAAAACCCAAATCAACATTTGGTTACTCTTGCATTTCTAACCTACTTCAGTCCCCCAAACAAAGAAGGCATGTCTTGGCTGCTAAGACCACCCCCCCCCCACCCCCTCTACAGCTCAGGGGTCTTGGGTGCTAAGACCCCCCCCCACCCCAGTCCAGGGCTCTTGGAGGTAAGGCCACCCCCCGCCACCCACCCAGACTCTCTCATCTCAAAGAAGAGCGTTTTGCAGAAAATCCTACTGCTGACCTTCCTGCAGCCTGCAGCTCTAAAGAATTTTCCATAAAAGCTGTCATTAAATCAACAGCTCCTGCCTCGCTCGTTCGGCCTGCTGTTATCCTGGAAGGCTCGTTTCTGCCTCTTCTCAGTGGGTCTTTGATTCTCTGACAATTCAGTGGGGTGTTGGGCTTGTAGCAGCTAAATGATCTTCCCAGGCTTGCATAGTTTCTGTTTTTCATCCTCCTAACCATATGCAGAAGGGTATGAGTGAGAAATATTATC